TTACTAGCTCTCCAAATTATTAATCAAGCAATAATGCTACTAGGCCATCACCTTCCCACTTCAGTGTGTCTACAATAAAAATCATGGTTCAGGGCAGCCTTCTGTAGGAAAGCCAATGCACGTATACATCATACCAGAGCAAAGACAACAGAGAAAATAGAGAATGCAATCGCTATGACTATTAGGTTTACTGCACACATGGTCTTTAACAAGCCTTCTACTTACTCTCTGGAACATTTTTTTTTCCAAACTGACATTATGTTTCTGTCATATACAGGAAGAAAATAAAGGTGGGAAAGAAATTCTAATTACAGTTTCTCATTTTTAACTTACATTACAACCCATTGATGCTATTCTATTATGCTCTCAACCAAAAATAAGATATTTGAAAACATGGCATTTAATAATCTACAATCTTGTATCCAGTATTACTCTGGTATTCTCCCTGTCAATGGAATCAGTTACATTTAATAAATGTAAATTAAACCTCTCACACTTTTCAATGACATTATTATCTATTGTCAATGTTATGGACCAGCCAGACCCCCAAAAAATATTTTAAGAAGGTAGTCTAGACTCTAACATTTTCTTATTTTAAAGGCAAATGTAAACTGTCTGTTCCAGATGCAATGTGACTGCTCAAACTACTCAACATTAAGCACTAATTTAAATACTATATTATTTAAAATACAACCAAAGAAAGAGGACTTTAGAATAACTTAACTCCACTGGATAACTTAACTGAAAAATAGATACAGTAACTATCACTAATTAACTGTTCCAATATAATCATATCCTATAAACACACCCCTTGGCAAAAAAAAAGTAAAATTCAGACACAGATTCTCACATGCCATTCTCCAATCCAGGAGGGAAAAAAACATTAAGAGAAAGTTCAGAGAGAGAGTAGCAGCCAGGAGACATTCACTGAAGCTTCCAACTCTGTTGAGAGCCCAATAGCTTCTGATGCTACTGAAAAACCAAAACCCAGAAATCCTAATCTGAGAGAGCTGGCCACACCTATTCAGGCTATTAAAAAAAAACCCAATGCCTCCCTAGTGGTTTATTCAAGTGGCTTAACAAGACACCTCTTTGCCTCTCGTTCAATCTCTCTCTTAAAGAAAACAGGACAAAATAACCTCTTAAAATTTTAGAATTATCACAGTCAATTACTTTATTCTGTGGTGATCTGGTGATATTTAAGATGCATATTTTAGAACTCAGAAGATGCACGCTCAAGTCCTACCATTGACAGTTGGCCAAAAGAACCAACTTCAAACATGACAAACTTTATCATTCTTACTGATCCAGCTAGGTGAATAACTTAACAGCAGCAGTTTCCTGCACTTTTGGGAAAAGAAATCCTGACAAGTGTCTCTCATTCTGCCGTATGCAATTTTGATATACAAAATTATAATGGAGCTGCATTGGCAGCTGTCGTGCCAAAGGGTGCAGCATGGATTAACCTGGTTCCTGACTAAAAAGCAAAGAGTAAGAATAAAAGTGGTGAAAGGAGGAAAGCAACACACAAAAAAACCAAATATACCCATTGCAATCGCAGTCTTAAGTCAATTATTTATGGTAGAATATTTTATCATAATTATTCAAAAATAATTAATTAAATGTCACTCTCTGTAATTAATTGCTGCATAAATAACATAAAAAGGATTTACAATTAAACAATCTTAAAAGGAGCAAAAGCATTTAAGTCCATGCATACACTATGATTTGGATGTTTAAATCACCTTCTGCCGTCAACGCTGACTAATTTGTAATCACCGCAACTTTTACTGTATTTTAATTAAAGATACTTTTCCCAAAATTTTTACTAGTAATGAAACTGTAACCAAATAATTTGCATCTGAAATACATGACCGCAAGCAGGTACCTTTAATTACTTCTGTGTGGATGTTAGGTTCATTACCCTCCCACATAGACGTATTGTTCCTGCTTTGTGTTCAAATTAAATAGGGCAATGTTTTAGAGCTCTCCAAGTTGCATCAAAACAAGCAGATGAAGCAAATGTATTTATTATATTAATTTAATGCATGTATGAAAACATAACTGAATATTTTATGTAAAAGTGTACATTTCACTAAATTACAATAGCAACTGTTTATGCTGCTGTTCTCTTAAAGGTCATCATTCTAATCATCTCACAAACTTAATAGAAACAACAAATAGGAATTCTTAACACATAAGAATACATGTACTTTCTTGTGTTATGGCGGTCAGTATAGCTGTTGAATATGATGGAGGGCAGCCTATTGTTTATTAATGTAACATTTTGTTTTAGATGAGTATTTTTTTTAAAATGGTCTCTCTGCTGTCCAGGAGACAGGCAGACAGAAAGAGAAAGGAGCTGGATAGGTTAATTAAAAGTATGTAGGAAGGAAAGGAAAATAAGTTGTTCTATTTATCATTTCTGTCAAATTATGATATGTTTTTTAAGATATACTAGTGACAAGTAAATTAATGTGTAATGTCAATCATATATATTTGACTTGTGATTACAGTAGAAACAAGCATGCATTGATGTCAGGTTAGCTACATTGTAATCTGGGAATTGATATACATTTTCTAGTTTATATTTCAATGTGTCAGTTTTTTCTTTAATTGGGGAAGGAGTGCAATATATTGCAGTAGCTCAGCTTCTTGTTATACTGCCCTCTTTTGTAGACAAGGGCAGCAGATGCATTGGGAACAGCACCATCTGCAAGTCTCTCTCCAGGCCACTAGCCATCCTGAGTTGGAAATACATTACTGCTCCTTCACTGTCAGTGGGTCCAGCTCCCTACGGAACAGCAATGCGAGTGAACCTGCACTAAACCGTCAGCAGTTCAAGAAGGGCGGCTGGGAATATCGCCTAAATTAATAAAAACTGGTGTAGATAAAGTTATTCAATTATGGCTGCTTGCAGTTGAGAATAATATTAGTTCCAGTGCAATATCAACATGGTCACCCGCTTTCGATTACTGCCAGTGATTTCATTGTTGGTGACCTCAAAGGCTGACACTGAGGAAACAGAAGATCGCCACCAGAACACCCAAACACTGGCAACCTTCCTCCCGCCGTTCCTTCGTTATTTCAATCAACTCATCTAAAAATCTTCTTGTTGACAGTCAGCAGTCGACCGTTCTTACTGAAATGCTAATACCAATGATATGCGGTCCGCCCGAGCCTGTGACCTCGCTGCGGAATGATTACATGAAGCATCCCCAAGTTTCCAGCTTTGCTAATCGTGTTATGAAAACACAGAATTTGGCACCACCGATTCACGAGACGTGCAAAAACAGGTTTTGGTACTAACTGATCAGCCAGCTAACATTACTCAATCCAACTTCTAAACCGCTGCCAATTTACAAAATGCCATACAGTATAAAGATTGATTCTTGATTCAGTGCTCTACTCCGACTGGCCAGTTTACTAGTAAAATCAATTCAGGAAATTAAGTACAGGTACGGTGCCATCGGAACAGAAGCCATTCGGCCCCTCACTTCCGTACAAAAGGTTCCGTCCTACTGAAACTGAGCGCGGTTTTGTTTAGTACTGCATTTTGATCAGAACTGACAGTTCAAAGGGTTAACTTGCGTTTTCAATAATGAACCTCTCAATAACCTTACACTTTTAAACGACACTGCGGTTTCCTCGCTCGGTTCAAAACATAACACTGTCTCCACATTTCAATAAACAGTGTGCCGTATGCAGACCCAAGCAGAGCGGCCGAATTTACAAACGGCAGTTTTAGTCAAAGGCTTCACTTTAAATAATCAGACCGTTGCTTTACAACTTGCTTTACCTAAATGAAAAGAAAAGAAACTCGCTATATTTAAAAAAAATAAACACTGCCTGTTATGCCTATTCATTATCAAAAAGCAACAAAAACATAATAATTCCCTTCAAATTTTTGGTGGGAGGTAGTGAATATCTCACTCACCTGTAAATATGCAGTTTACACAGGAGACGAGTCAATCCAAACTAAAAATGGGGAGAGGGTGGGAGTAAGTAAAGATGAACCGAAGGGCAATGTTTCTGATCTGCTTTCAAAGTGATAGCAAATTAAGGCTTAGCCTCATAAAAAAAAAACATTGGCTTCCTTTTTTCCCTGGCTATGTAAATCCATCAAACAGCACCTTCCGCCGCCAGCAACGAAAGAAGAATTTTTTTGTTTTAAAGGTGTTTGGAAATTCGCCGATTTCAGAGAGTGATACAGTTACAGTGAAGTCAAACGTATCCTGTTGTTTGTGAACACCGCTGCCAGTAAAACAGCAATAGGCAGTCGCTGACAGGGTCTTCCCCGTCTCCAAACTAACAGCAAACAGCTCTCGCTGTTCTGTCCGCCTGTACGTGAGGCTTTTCCAATCGGCAATCATCTTGTTTTACATAAAGCTGTGACTGGGGTGGGAAGCCTTCGATAAATCCCCCTTTATTGTTTCGGGAATGATTTTTCCCCCCTCTCTATACCCCCCCCCCCATGCCCAACTCGATTCATTTTGGCCAGGGTTTTGGTCGGAAGCAAGGTGAATGGGGGCCGTCTGGATGGCCAGTGTTAAAACAAAATGACACGTTAGTATCCAGTCAAGGCCCGATTACGGGGATTATCAGGAGGAACCTGAGAACACGGACACGTCGGTTCACGCAAACAGCTGGATCTCCGCAAGGGTCCGAGGTATCTAACCTCTCTTCCCCACCTCCCCCCCGCCTCCATAAAACGACAGTAAGGCGGAGATTGATAACAGCAAGGCGTGGGGGGTGGAATAAACCGAGAATAAAGAAAGCGAGAGAGTATCGGCAGCAATAACTGGAAACATTGTCTTTAAAATAAATACAAATCGTTCACGGACACAGAGATGAGGACAACCCCATGACTTCAATTCCTTATTACAGGCTGGTTACAATGGATCAGACTGCTTGCTACACTGTGGATATTTGTTGATAAAAAGACTCTTTTGTTTTAACAAATGAAAGATTCTTTGCGCATATTTTGTCCTGACACTTACCTTTCTGTCTTCATTCATTCCCGTATTTTTCCCCAGCAGACACAGAGAGAGAGAGAGAGAGAGAGAGAATTCAGACAGCAGAGCCTCGCCTAGTACTGTGTACAGCAGCTCCGTCTGATTACGTCCCCTTCCCTCTCCCTGGCTTAGCGATGGTTGTTGTTACTGCTGCTGTGGTGGGGTTGTGGGTGGGTGAGGGGAAGTTGGGGGTGGGAGGGGGTTATTTTAGAGATAATCCGTATTGTTTGGAGGCTCTCCTGTCAGGATGTGTGGACTGTGATTCCCAGGGACTCCTTCCCCGCTGGAGAGGTGACGGGCTGCGCACGCATTGCTATCAACATCCCAGCCATTGGGAATCAGTGCCTCATCCCAGAGCAAACCCTCAAACTCATTTTTCACACCTCGGAGCTCACCTTATCCAGCAGTGTAATGCTGGAAATACAGCAGCTCTGCCTCTTCACCCTGTCCCCTTCGGTCAGGGTCTTAAAAGGATTTTAAATTTAGATATAGTTCTCTCATTTGCAAATCAACTTAACGTGGGGTCATGTCTTCCTCGCACGCACGCCCACTACAGTTAATGATCTCCACATTCTACCTCACTATAGTATCAGACAGGTAATGAGTCTTAAAACAGGTTATAATGCTCAGATCCGTACAGTGTTGCGGGGAATATTGACATGAAATAAAGGCATTTGATTAAAACTTTTAGTAACAATTGTAGTTTCCTAGGTCTACATCCCAATTTTTCTAAACTTGGCAATGATTTCGTATGTGCGACCTCTTTTTAAAAAAAGAAAGACTTTTCTTATGTAATCAAGTATTCCACCCTCAAAGTGCCAATTCGCTTTTACCTTTTCCGCTAAAGCAATTTGTCCAGCCATTGAGTTCTAGCAAAATGTCTCCGCCAGAAATATCATTTCTCCAGCGGCCAACTGACCTTTTGTATATTTCATCATCGCCCAGGAGGAGGCCATTCAGCCTACTGTGCCGGCACCGCCTCTTTAAACGAGCATCACCATTCAGTGCCAATCTCTTGCCTTTTTCCCCATATCTTTTGCACATTTTTAGTCCAAATAATCGTCAAATGCTCTCTTTAATGTCTCAATTCCCAGAATTTGCTTTTTAACTCCATGTTACAGAGTCATAGGGCACAGAAGAGGCTCTTCAGCTCATCCATTCTCTGGCCCATGGCCATGAATGTTATGACATTTCAAGGGCTCAGCCAAATACATTTTAAAGGTTGTGAGGTTTCCTGTCTCTATTACCCTCCTAGGTAGTGAGTTCCAGATTCCTCTGGGTCATTTTCTTTCCCTCAAATCCCCCTTTGCCCTTCACCTTTAGATCATGATCCTTTAAAGCCGGGGAACAACTACTTCCTACCCATCCTGTCCATGTCCCTCAATCTTTTCCTTCTTAATCAAGTCCCCTCTCAGCCTTCACCGCTCTAAGGAAAACTGAAGCCTGTCCAGCCTCTCTTCATAGCTAAACTGCTCCAGACCAGGTGCTGAATCTCCTCTGCATCTCTTCCAGTGCAATCACATCTTTCCTATAGAGTGGTGACCAGAACTGCTCATACTACTCTAGCTGTGACCAGCTCCAATATATCCTCCCTGCTCATATAATCTGTGCCATGACTGATAAAGTCAAGTATCCCATATGCTGTCTTAAACACCCTATTAAGCTGTCCTGCCACCTTCAGGGATCTGTGGACAAGCACCCAAGATCACTTTGCTCCTTTGAGCTTCCTAGTGTCCTGAGTACTCCCTTATCTTCTTGCTTCTTCCAAAGTGCATCGCCTCACACTTTTCATGTATCCCTCATTAAATTATTCCAGCAAATTACTTAACTGTGTTTTTTTCTGCTTTGTTGGAGCATCGCAAATTAAACTGTCTCCATTGCTGGCTAAGTAGGAAGGAGCCCCATTTCCAAATGCCAGCATTACCTAACAATGTGAACAATAAATTTGTTTCTATTACCAGATACATGCAATATGGACTTTTTGACTAGTCACATAAAAAATGTATTATAATATTTTTCTATGACTACTCCTATGTACAAATCCTTACAGCAGAACCCCCTTCAGTTGTCTTTCATCAGCAAATACATTCCTGTTAGACACAGTCAGTTGGCTCAGTGGTGGTACTCTTACTTCCAAGACATTTGAATTGCATGTAAAGTGCTATGGGATGCCCTGAAGGTACGAAAAGCAATAAGCAAATTGCAGTGCTTTCATTCTTATCTGGTTGAAGTAGCAGCACCCAATGCTGTACTCATGCCATACATATACTGAGATGCACTTCCTTACGTGCAGGCAAGAGCCTTAAGAATATATACCAAAGACGATGCATGGCTCATTATCTTGATCCTTGCTTTGCAGCTCACATTTCAGGGTGATTGCAATTTGGTATTTCTTTGGCTCAGTGAAACTATTTGGTTTTGAAGTTGTACCTTTCTCTGCTCTCTCCTCTTTCTATTCTTATACTCTCATTGACTTCTTCCTATCTGTAAGACGTGCCCCTTCATCGCATTACCTTTTGCCGCCAAACTGGTGGTCGCATAATTTCAGTTCCCAGCAACCCACATATATTCCTTTGTTACCTCCAGATTCAACTATTTCCATGTTACCAACTTCCACTGTAAACTTCATCTGATAAAATTCTGTACTGCCTGAGTCCTAACTTACAACATGCCATTCACCCATTAAAGCTGTGCTTTCTGACCTACGTTGGCCATTAGTTTCACAATGTTTCAAATTTAAAATTCTCAGCCATGAGTGCAAATCCTTTCATAATTATACTCCTCCCAATCTCTGTTACTCCTACAAATCTACAGACATCTGAAATCTCCTTGTTTCTCCAGTTCTGACCTCCTGCACATTCACAATTTCCTTTGCTTTATCGTAAGTGCTCTACTTTCAATTGCATAGGCTCAAAGCTCTGGAATTTACCTCCCAAACTTCTTTAGCTCTTTAATTCCCTATCCTCCTTAAGTCATTACTCAAAATGTATTTCTTTGGCTATGCCTATTATTCTTTATGTGGTTCTGTTCATGCTGCATAAGGATGTTTGACTATGCTTAATGCATAACGTAAATGCAAGTTGTTGCTATTGAATACTTTTTAGGGATAATTTGCGAAAGTAATTTAGCTAAAGTGTTGGACAGTAAAGTTTTCATTGACTAGTCATAGCAGATACTACAAGACATCTTGGAGTAATAGACTGGAAACAACTATGTCACAGCACTGTCACGTGATGTTATTTTACCAGACAGATGATTTAAATGTTCATGGTTTATACACATAGAAAAGAATAATGACAGCTTTTCACACAGTCTAATGTTTTTCATTATTTTGCTATTGAATCAACTTCTATTATAATTAAAACATCAACAGTTTTCTCACAGTTCAATACCAAAATGTCCCATCTTTGACCAATTGCAAAACGATGATACTCTGGTGCCAACACTATCATGCAAAGTTCAAAGTTGTTTTCTATGATAACCAGATCCCTTTACCAAAAACAAATGTGTGTGCACACTATAAACAAAATGCTAGATGCAGCTGGTAATTTAGGAAAACTAAACGAAGTGAGCTAGGCGTGCAAAATACATGTTCTTTGATCTCATGACTTAAGCATTTGACAGATTTTTTTGGTCTATTACCAAGTGCAATTGTGCATCCTCTTCTTCGGATCAATTATCAACAGCTGTTCAATTCTTAACCCTACATTACACGAACATAGCAGTTATCTTTTCAATTTTTCAGTTCCGATTTCCTGAAGTGGCAGCCAACATAACTCCATTCTCCCGAAGAAGTTTGTGCGTGACCACTTTGTCAGTTATTATTATGCATACTAAGAAAATATTGGGAATTGAGACATCTATTTATTCATATACCTTATGGTTTACGTGACGGTCAACAAATTGCTCAATTTCCACTTCTGTAGGTTAACTTATCGAGTAAACCCCACGATGGAAGTGTCTTTCTTACTCACTCTGTTCTACATAAGGGGAGATAGTACCTCCCTGCAATTGCCTCTAGACATTATTTTGGTAGCTTTAAGTCACGTGACCATATGTTGCTTCAAGTTGAATACTGCCCACACCCACAGAAATGAAATAGCGTGCATCATTGAACTTAATAGATACTAGGGACCACATTCACGCGTGCAATCTGATCTTCCGGCTCAGATGCTAGTGTAGTTACAAAGTGCTTGCGTTTCAATCTTGCACTTTACAATATCATGTAAATCCTTTGATTAGATTATACATTTACACAATTCACTCCGGTTTTGGTTATTTTGTATCTATTAAAGGAAGTGTTTTGTTAGCATTTAATAAAGTGAAAACAATTCATAACAAATACCTTAGAGACTGCTTTTACACAATGGGTCTTCAAATGGTAGTTGAAATATAATCTTTCATTGACTGGTCAGACTAATAAAGTTACTGTGTACATTTTAATCACTATGAAGGACCCATTGTAAAATTTCTAGGTACACATTGTTCCCAATTGGCAAAAGGAAAGATGCTCGTGCTTTAACCCTAGACTAGCAGAGTAGTTTGAAAACTGACTTCTTCCCAAATCCCCCAAACAAATTGATAGTCCTTAAAATGGACCAAAACAGACTGTATGTCAACTGACCAATTTGCAGGGCAGAATTTTACATGGGCAGATTGACCATTCGAACTGTAACACACCATGTGCTTGTCTCTTCTCCTATCCACCTGCCCGTGACCCTATTACAATTTTATGAGTGGAGGAGGAATTGGGCACCTCTTTTGCTGCTCCACTTGGCCCTTAAGTGGCCAATTAATAGATTTTTCTACAAATTCGTAGGAGGTAGAACGAAAGAGAGTCGGACTCTAGTTGAGACAGATATCGTGAAGCTTATGTGAGATCTTGTGGTGCAGCGGTAATGTCCTTGTCTTTTGAGCCAGTGGGCTTGAGTTCAGGTCCCACCTGCCGCAGAAGCCTGTACATAATACCACAGTGGCCTATGACAGGAAAGTTTACAGCTTTCTGTGCACCCCAGTTTCTAATTATAGGCACCCACTGCCTTGATCACTGGTGTGTTTCACCCACCAAC